AGCGGTAATCTCTGTACGCTTGAGCGCGAGTTGCCGTTCGGAGACAACGCATTATTATTAAGAATGACGGAAAGAAATCCAAGTGACCTCACAGTCGTTGAGTTAAAAAAGGCGTTGCGGGAGATAAGTCTTCCGACAACGGGCTCAAAAGCGGAGTTGGTGGCGAGAGTAATGAGCCACGACCCGTCGAGTGAGTGGATGACGCGTAGAGAAGAGAGACAGATTGACGGCGTAAACGAGAGGCGTATTAGCGAAGAAGTAAGACGAGGCGAAAAAATTGAGAGTGACGACAATGAATTGAGGTGTCTTCGGAGAGAGGTCGAATTATGCCGACGGGAGAAGGAGATAGCAGAACGTGAGCTTCTGTTGGCCCGTCGAGAGATCAAATTTTTGCAGTTGATGCAGAATAGAAGTAACAGCAGAAGCGAACTTGCAGCTTCTGGAAGCTCGTTGATTTCGCGTGAGTGTCCGACGCGAATCAATGTTACTGCAATCGCCGACTTACTTAGTTATTTTGAGGGCAATAATGAGACTTATGAGGCATGGGAAAAACGAGTTAGATCGCTTCGCGACGCATATACGCTGACTGACGAATTGGCAAAGATTTTAATTGGATCTCGTTTGAGAGGAAAAGCTCAAGAGTGGTTTTACTCCAATCCTGATTTTACGGAAATGACGACCGATGAGCTCTTGGCCGAATTGAGAAAAATGTTTTATCACGAGTCGAACCGAGTAAAGCTGCGCTGGCAGTTCGAGCGGCGCGTTTGGCGGAGAGACGAGACATTCGGCGAATATATTCACGAAAAGGTGATACTGGGCAACCGACTGAGAATTGAAGAGTCCGAGATTGTTGACTACGGAATCGAAGGAATTCTTGATCCAGTGCTGCGGAATCAAGCCCGAATTCAGCGCATCAGAACGTTGACTGCATTGACGGAATCGTTCGAAGGAGTGGCGCTGCGTGCGGAAGGAGTTCAACCTGTTCGTGCAGGCAGAAAGGAACAACGGGCGCAGGGAGGTAATGAGAGGAAAAGTGGAGATGCGACGGCGAGCGGGAGACGGTGCCACAATTGCAGTATACAGGGACATTATGCGGCGGACTGTCCTTCGAAATCTAGAGGTATAAAATGTTACAATTGCAAGGAGTTTGGGCATATTGCTGCGAAATGTCAAAAACAAAATAGTCGAATTAAAGATGCGTGTGATGTGTCAGAGTCGAGTCGCGGCAAGTATTATAAAAATGTAAAAATCGGAGACAAAAATATCGTAGCTTTAATAAATACGGGAAGTGATTTATCATTGATGCGTGCGGATCAGTATTTGAAATTAGAATCTCCTGATTTAACATCTCCGAGCATGGTGTTTCGTGGTATCGGTTTGGATGAATATAAAACGCTAGGCTCGTTCGAAGCAAAGATAGAAATTGACAATGAGAATTTCTCAATAAATATAGCGGTAGTGCCGAATGGCCTGATGCGACATTCTCTGCTTATAGAAACTGACTTTATCGATGGTATAAAATTGCATATTAAAAAAGAAGATATCATAATTCGTAAACCGCGTTCGAGAATCGAGTCTTCAACCGATATTCACGAGATATTAAAAATAGATTGCATCGAGACAAGCGACGTTGTAGATTTGACGCACGTGTCAACCGAACATCGAGGCATCATTGAGGAATTAATTAATAATTACAAACCAGAAAAGGCACGCGAGATAGATGTCGAACTAAATATAATTTTGAATGATAAAGGACCCGTTTATCAGAGACCCAGACGTCTGTCGCCGACGGAAAAAAAAGAGGTAAACACGCATATAACCGAGTGGCTGGAAAAGGGCATTATTCGATCGTCTCTATCGGATTATGCAAGCCCCGTAGTATTAGTTAAAAAAAAAAACAAGAGGAACTAGATTATGTATCGATTACCGACAGTTAAACAAAAAAATTATAAAAGATCGATATCCGCTTCTTCTAATTGATGATCAGCTGGATGCGCTGCAGGGAGCTATCGTGTTTAGCACTATCGACTTGAAAAATGGATTTTTTCATGTTCCGGTAGAAAAAAAAAGTAGAAAATATACATCGTTCGTGATCCCGGATGGACAGTACAAATTTCGCTATACACCTTTCGAACTGTGTAATTCACCGGCGATATTCCAAAAATTTATTAATGCCGCTTTTGATAATGTAATTAAAAACGGTTTAATTTTAACATATATGGACGATCTAATTATTCCATCCAAGAGCGTCGAAGATGCGATTGCGAGTCTTCAAAAAGCATTGCAAGTAGCGAAAAAGGTTGATATTAATTGGAATAAATGCAAATTTTTAGTGACTAAAGTCGAGTTTCTCGGTCATGTAGTCAAAAATGGCACAGTGCGCCCTTCGGAACATAAAACTGACGCGGTAATAAAATTTCCAGAGCCGAAAAATATTAAACAGCTGCAAAGTTTTTTAGGATTGACGGGATATTTTAGAAAATTTATTAGAGACTACGCTTTGATCGCAAGATCGCTGAGCGACTTATTAAAGACGAACACCNAATTTATTTTTCGAGAGAAAGAAAAAGAAGCTTTGAGTCGATTATAAAATTTGTATTGAGTAGTAAGCCAGTGTTGCAGTTGTATAATTATAAAGTTGACACAGAATTGCATACAGATGCCTCCATGTACGGTTACGGTGCCATATTATTGCAAAAATCTAATTATGATAATTTAATGCATCCGGTATATTTTGCGAGCGGAAAGACCACCGACGCGGAAATNAAATACACGAGTTATGAGCTGGAAGCTTTGGCTATCGTGAAAGCGTTACGAAAATTTTGCGTGTATTTACTAGGCATCAATTTTACTATTGTTACCGATTGCCGAGCATTCGCGTTGACTATGAGCTAAAAAGATTTATGCGTCCGTGTAGCCAGATGAGTTTTATTATTCGAAGAATTCAAATATGTTATCGTGCACCGTCCTGGCAAAAACATGATGCACGTAGACGCGTTGAGTCGTTATCCGCTTCCCAAAAGCATGTTAATACACGAATCGGACGACAGCTTAGTCCCGAGAATACGAAAGGCACAAAGAGAGGATGCTAAGTTACAAAGTATTTGCGCGTTGGTAAACGAAGGCAAGATCGACGACTATGTTATGCGTGGCTATTAAGAGAACGCAGTTGGGTCCGGGCTTGAAATGTGCTTCCAAGTATTTAGGTCCTTATCAAGTGATAAGATTATTGCGTAATGATAGATACATTGTTAGAAAAGTAGGCAATCAAGAGGGACCATTTGAAACATCTACGTCTAGCGATCATATAAAGCCATGGATCAAAACAGCTGACATCATAGAAGATTCCGACAATTAAGAGAAAATCTGAGGTCAGATTTGCGCTTCAGGATAACCGCATGTAGGAATAAAATATATATGTATATACTTGTATCAAGCGTATTTGCGTAAATTGACTCAAACGGAAAGAGTTAAACCGTTGACTATGTTTGTTATCGAGACAGCGGTCGTTTTGACAAGCAACAAATATTATTATTTGTGTGTGTGACTTTTAAGCAGCGTTCAAACCTTCTCTGTATATTGTTATATACTTATTATTGTTTTCACTTGCGATCAACGGCTAACAAGCCGAGAAAAGAAGAGATTTTTCAAAAGACTCGTCGAAGGTTTCTTCGACGAAACGTTTCGCCGCGGTAGTCAGTCGGCGTGAGACACCCAGTACTAATTTTTTTGTAACAACTTAACATAGAAATATATCGCCTCATTGTGAAGTCATACTTTAAATTTTATATCATGTATGTATTTCTTTATTATACACTTCTTTGCTAAATATTCCTACATATAATAACTTACAAATATCTAATAAATTTCTACGTAAAATTATTATTACATATGTAATTATCTTATTTTATGTGACAAAAATGCTAATATCTGTTATANTTCTAGATGGAGATTATAGAAGGAAAACAACCTGAATCTAAATTATTTGTCTATAATAATTACACATATAATATAGATAATAAATATTTATATTTATATTGTTGCTCTAAACGCAAAACTGCAAACTGCTCTGGACTTTTACAAAAAGTCGAGGAATCTTATATTGTGGAACATGAACATAACCATACCGAAGAGCAGTATATTGTTTAGATTTTTAATATGAAAAAGCTAATGACACGTTTAACCCAAGAAACAACAAAACCTTTGAGAGAAATATTTGATAGTTTGTCGCAGTAACCCAACATTTGCAGCACATATTTCATACAGCTGCATAAAATCTGTACTTAGCCGCCAAAGGATCATATCTTGTCCAGCTGTTCTCAATGATTTACGATTTTTACACGATATGTTAGAAACATACGAACCTACACGCAGTATTTACAAAGGTTGTGCAGTATCGGATGATAATAAAATTGCACTTATTTTTAGCAGCGATATTATTAAGCCTGTTATCTGAAGGATGTGAAATATTTGTAGATGGGACTTTTTCTGTAAGTATTTTTTGAATTTTTTTTATTTGAAATCAGTCATAAGACTGTAAAACGTTCCTTTTCTCAACTGTCAGTAATTTCAAAACACAGAACAGATCTTAATCATTCTTTTGATTGGAACAATGTCCAGATTCTAGATCATGAACATCATTATTATAAAAGGCTAATTCCAGAAATGATCTTAAATTCTGTTAACGACTTAGAATTACTTGACACTTCCTACTTCAATGTTTTGAATGTTTCTCACTGTGAAAAACATCCACTATGAGTGGGAGAACTCCTATATGTTTTTCGTGCCTCTTATCTTTCCTTTCAAAGTTTGACTATCTTGCGTCATAGTAAGTTTATTTTAAATTTTGCTTTATGTGTAACGGTGATTGAATACTTTACTTTATTATTCTTTTAAAATGTCATCTCCAAGGTATTTACACCATGTTTAATATTAACGACCAACCTTCTACGTTGCTTTTAAACATTGACTTCGTTTATATCTTGACATAATGTATATTGCGTATTTTTTATATTTCTTATATTATTGATATGTTAATTGCGACTGAAGAAGACTTCAGTTAGAGTCAAAATATTTTGCGTATTTTTTATATATGTAAGTGTTGATCATTAAATCATTATATTATTATAAAAATTACGTATGTGGTTTTGTGTTTCCTAGGTTGTACCAAGAAAGTCAAACATTACTCAGTTGTATAGTGTACATGTTCGTTATGCAGATATGGTAATATCATTTCTTTTTTTATTATAATTCATACTACAGAAATACAAAGTTTTGTGTGTTATGTCCTGGCCCACGGTTACGGTCGGGCTATGGTGGAGTGACAGAGAGCTGTCGTTTCTCTGTCTATCTCCGCACAGCACGTTGGCGATCCCGCTGCAACGGAGTCGAGCGAGTTTGCTTACGTTCGTCGACAGGTCAACGGCGTACGCCGATCTTACTCTGTCTTACAAACACTCACTGGTTGGTCTCTTTTCAAGTCTGGGGAATTAACTCCACGGACTAAGGACGAGACCGTGCGATCAATTGAGGATGTGGAATGATGAGAGGTCGTCTTAAATAAATGGAGAAATTATGCTACGTATAATATTAATTTATTCATTTTATGGTATTACAATTTTAGGTGTGTGTTCGTGTAGATGAATGTGGTATCGCGAATTTTACATTTAAACGGAGGGTCATCGCTCGGAGGCTAGAGAGGGAGAATACATGTATATGCGTGTATGAGTGACGCGATACGTGTGAGGGGCCTCCGGCGGTGTTTTACAGGTGTAATTGTGTCGGTAGCATGTTGAAGATGCCGATTCGTGATAGAAATTATTCAAGGTCGATTTCTATAATTTCCTGGATTTTTGCGGAACTTGGAGGGAACATTGTGTAGAAATGGTGGACGGGAACTAAGCGGATATCATCTATGTAGGGAAACTTGACTGGAACGAGTTTTCTAGCTGGAGTGGTGGTTATTATCCGGAAGATTTCGGAAAGATCTGTTGTTAGAGGGTCAAGGACAAAGGGGATTCTTTCCGGATTCGTTTTTTTATAGGTGGAGGCTAATCGGAGGAAATGTTGAAATTTAGGATCGAGCGGAGGAGTGGTTGAGCGGGTTGAGTCGGAGGATCCATCATCTACAGGTTCGTCTCTGGACGTAGATGGTTCAGGGGAAGGAGAGCGAGGGGGAGGTGGAAGAGTCGACGCGGACTGTAGATCCGCGGGATTTTCTGCGGGAGGATNGGGGGTTACAGGCGAATAGGAGGTAGTTTCATACCACGAATCGTCATCTTCAACATGCTACCGACACAATTACACCTGTAAAACACCGCCGGAGGCCCCTCACACGTATCGCGTCACTCATACACGCATATACATGTATTCTCCCTCTCTAGCCTCCGAGCGATGACCCTCCGTTTAAATGTAAAATTCGCGATACCACATTCATCTACACGAACACACACCTAAAATTGTAATACCATAAAATGAATAAATTAATATTATACGTAGCATAATTTCTCCATTTAATTAAGACGACCTCTCATCATTCCACATCCTCAATTGATCGCACGGTCTCGTCCTTAGTCCGTGGAGTTAATTCTCCAGACTTGAAAAGAGACCAACGAGTAAGTGTTCGTAAGACAGAGTAAGATCGGCGTACGCCGTTGACCTGTCGACGAACGTAAGCAAACTTGCTCGACTCCGTTGCAGCGGGATCGCCAACGTGCTGTGCGGAGATAGACAGAGAAACGACAGCTCTCTGTCACTCCACCATAGACCGACCGTAACCGTGGGCCAGGACGTAACAGAACTGCGTAAAATTGGGGGCTCGTACGGGATGTTTATACAATAATAAAAGTTTCTGTTCGCTATCGTCTACGAAGGAATTTTTAAGATCGTTGCTAGGCTCGGTTTATTGTTTTCGGGCGTCGACACGATTTCTATTTGCGCGTCTATCGCGTCGAAGTCCGAGTCCGTTTGTGTTATTTCTTGAGAAAAAAAGGAATTTATTGTATGTCGGCGCGTCACGTTGCAAGAAAAATGGTCCCGTGGAGTCCCCAGGACGTAACATGTGAAACAATTGTTTTATTTATTAGGGTATAGCAACAATTTTTGTGTTGTGTGAAACACGATCTGCGTCTCTCTATAAAGCAATGTGGGATAAAATCACTTCACTTGCTCCTGACTTGAAACTTAATCTACAATTTATTATGGCAGATTACGAAAAAGCAGCTATTTTAGCTATAAGTCAACAATTTTCAACAGCTTCCATTCATGGTTGTTGGTTTCATTATTCACAGGTATAATAATAATTATAATAATTATTTTGTTCTAAGTATTGCATATGCTATTGTATAATTTTATTTTACTTCTTGTTGTTATGCATTTTTTTATATGGTTGCATTTGTTGATATTTAGTTATTGACGTTTTGCAAATAGTGATTTGTTTTCATATAAATAGTCGTGTGTACATTTTGTGAAACGTGAGCGACAAAAGATTGAGGAATGCAATTATTTAGTGAGAAAAAGTGTGTATTAAGTATTGTAAAATATTTTTACAATATGTTAATGATTGTGCATTTTATTATGGAAAGTGACTTT